GTAATTTGCAATTTGAATATCAAACAAATGAATATGTGTTTGTTCAGAGGAGGTATTCCCAAGACTTTATAATCTCAATAATATTCAGAGAGTATTTTATTTTGATTCTGTTTCTTTTTTCTAGAAGTTTAGATTTGTTCATTCGAATTATTTAATATATCATTATTATCACCTTTTCATTTGTTACGAAATGACTGATTTGTATATCAAACATGGAATAAAATTGTCTGACATCAGTGTCAAGAATTTTTATTTATCACTCCACTAATATAATGTCCATAAAACAGCACATATTAGATACATTTCCTTGAAATGTTTCACATATGTTACTTGCGAAATGTTTAAGAAATATTTCAAAAAAACGTTTCTTAGTTAATGTTCCGGAAGCATTTCATGGATTTGTTTCTTAGCCATGTTTCAGAAATGTTCCATTAACGTTTCTTTGGTATGTCTAAGAAACGTAGAATCCGCGGACATTGATGATCTTATAAATGTTTCATAGACGGCTCAGTGCTTTACTCAGAAACATCTCGTGTATCATTGCAATATTTTTGAAACATTTCAAGAACATAAATTTGTTTGAAGATGAGTATTTTGGAAGGACGGTTTCGTTGTCTTCTAGGAGAACGAAAACTTCGCTATGGTCCTCAAATAGTGGGAATCATTGTGAATGATTGCTCCATCTTGCACAATATGTGTGTGAAGTGGAGAGTCCCAGTTGATGAGAATATCATTTTCCAGGATGTGGATGATAATGATGGAAATCCTCCACAGCATCATCTACCCATGGACATTTTTAATGAGGGGATTCATATTCGAAACTCTATTATTACCAGATATTTTCAAAACTGATTACTGCAAGTCACATAAATGAAAATCTGTGTTTTTCAGCAGGAATGTTGAATGTTCTGATTCCCTATACCCAAGGTGATAATTACCTGAGAAATTCCTACATAGTTTGGGAAACTTCACCGAAAAAAACAAGGAAATTATTTCATTACAAAAAATTTGTATTACAAATTCATAAAAATCTGAATCATTCTCACAGATATAAACAGTATCAACGAAAAATATATGCTCTCATATGTGGTTTTCTTCAATAAGTAGAAGAGAAGACTTATCATGAATAGAATGAAGGTACTTTCATCACAAGATTAGTTACCACAATAAATAAAGGAAATCTTAACAGATACTAACAAAAACTTATTCACATAATACTGAAATAGATACATTTATCACAACAAGACATAAGTTAGAAAACAAGGAACAAAATGATAAATTTCCATACATTCATTTATTCTGCAGAATGTCTAGAATTTTGACATGAATTTCACATAGTTCCTTTTGAGGATCACCTACTCTTTTCAAATTTGAATGTATCTCTCCTAAATTCATCATAGTGTTAGGACGTAAATTGAATGTCTTTTTCTTGGCTTTTTTTTTGGCAAAGGCAATTTACGTTTCTTGCTATTTTCCACTTCCACAGGAATGAATGTATTTTGAGTATCCAACTGTTGTGTTGTTGAAGTGAAGTTGAATTGGAATGTAGATGTCCCACACTATATAATAATAATAATAATAATAATCGTCTTTTATTTGTACCACAGAAAAAAGATACAAATGAGGCGAAGTTTAGCACAATGCTAATCTTACACTTAACCTCTGAAATTAAATACAAATGAATTTAAACATATGATTGCATGAGAGAAAATAGAAAAAAAAAACAGTATTATTGCAAAATACTATAGGTAACTATTTCTAACCATTACCATTTTAAACTACATGAAATATAATTTATAAAATGAAAGTAATATATATGAATATATTATACACATATACATCGATGTCATGTCTCTTATATATATGCATACATTATGTGTATTTAATTATGAACAAAAACGAAAGCAAAAACGAAGTAAACTACAACTTACTCAGATTAACTATAGATAGATACATTGAAGAATTGAATAATACTTTGACTGAGAAAAGTAATGTTATTGATTATCTAACAAGTATTTTTTAAGTTTCTTCTTTGAATGATATTGTGAAGATTGCATAATGGCAGCAGGAATTGCATTGAAAGCCTTAACTGCATTATAAGTAAAACTTTTACAAAATATAGCAGATCGATGTTGGGGTATATGAAGTGTATTGAATCTTCTGATATTCATTCTATGCAGGTCGTGGCGGTGGCGTAGGCATTCCTTTATATAAGTGGGTAATCCACTACTAAGCGTATTATGAACAAATTGAACCAAATGGAAAGTTCTTCTATTCGTCATATTTAGCCACCGTAGAGATTGGAAATGGGCGGATATATGGTCAAATTTTCTTATGTTGAATATAAATCTACAACAAGAATTCTGCATACTTTGTATGCGAGTTTTATCCACCATATCTAGACAATATCCATAAATGTAATCGGCATAGTTGAAATGCGAAAGAACTAGACTTTCGCATAAATTTTTCCTCATAGTCATAGACAATATATGTTTATTAGCATAAAGCTGTCGAAGTGATAAATATCCTTTCTGTAACAGGCTGCTAACATGACTTGAAAACTTCAGTTTTTCGTCAAATAAAACACCCAAATTTTTTGCAGTGTCCTTTATGGGAATCATCCTATTGTTAATGTGTATGTGTATGTTATGTTTTACTTCTGATACTTTCTTATTATTTCCGATAAGAAGAATGACTGATTTTGCCGGATTGAGTTTGAGATTATGACCAACAGATAAATCGTTCAGATTTTGAAGATCAAGATTAATTTTATTTTCCATTTCAATGGGATTTTCACAGTCTAATGAGTATATCAATTGAGTGTCATCAGCATATGAGTGACAGTCACAGTTCTCGAATGATTTGACAATATCTGAAGTATACAAAATAAATAATAGCGGCCCCAATACAGATCCTTGCGGAACACCAGCCCTCAAGGTAATTTGATCAGATATAATGTTATTGATAAAAACTTTTTGAGAACGGTTGGTTAGATAATTTTCTAATAATTTTAATGCTTCACCTGAAAAGCCATAAAATTTTAGTTTACTTAAGAGCACATTATGATTCAAGGTGTCAAACGCCTTGGAGTAATCCAAAAGCAGAAGCGCAGCAATTTTTTTTTCATCCCAAATTTTTATTATTTTGTTCATTACATCAGCAAGTGCTGACACAGTACCATGAGCTTTCCGAAAACCTGACTGATTGAAAGGCAATATGTTATTATTATCTAAATAAGTAGCTATTTGCTTATGCATTATTTTCTCCATTATTTTAGACAGGACTGATAATATACTAACTGGCCGGAGATCTGAAATGGTACTGGGACTTGCTACTTTCGGAAGCGGATTAACTACCGCTTCTTTCCAATTAGTTGGAAAATAATTGCTCAAGATGCAACTATTAATAATATGTACAATATATTTGTCGAGGAAAGGGGTACAATATTTAAGCATAACACTATTTACATTATCTAACCCATATGCTTTTGACTTCAGATCTATAATTATTTCCCTTACTTCTTGTACAGATGTCAGAACAAATGAGAATTCTGTGCTTTGATCATTTTTGTGTGTATCATAGTATGTTGCTGTTTGTTGGCAGTCTGAATCATTGGGAGAATTATTCGATGAGAAGTAAGAATTAATTTCATTCACATTACACAAGCTATCGGGTATATTATAAGATTTTTTGTTTTTCACACTAAGATTACTCAATGCATTCCAAGTACTACGGGCATCTGAATTATTTGATATGAAATTGATATAAGCCTTTTTCTCATTTCTGATCGAGACAACAACGTAATTTCGTAAGCGCTCATAATTTTCCCAATCTTCTGTTCTGTGTGACTTTTTGTATTTCTTTAAAGCAGAATCTCTTTCTTTTACTAAAGTTCGTATGTTGTCAGTATACCAAGGCATCTTAGGCTTGGTTACTCTAACCCTGCGTACAGGGGCATGCCTATCAAATAACGATAGAAGGTACCGGGTAAAAATTTCGACTTTCCTATCTATGATTGTCTCCAATACTATATCATCCCATGGTACTTGTTGCAAGTCCGACTGAAATAATTGAAAATCGAATTTTTTGTAGTCTCGGAAAGTTACTAATTTTGGTTCAACCGTTTGAATATGAATTTTCAGTTCACAATATACTAACTGATGATCGGAAATCAAGCTAGCATCAAGCACACCCTTATCAACAACTAGATTTTTCTTGCTGACGAAAATTGGATCTAATAATGTACACGAGGTTTGCGTGATTCTAGTTGCTTCAGTTATCATTTGAAAGAAACCATAAGCATCGAAACACCGAGAAAGTGGATTATTAACATTAAACAGATTTATATTCATGTCACCAGCGCATATTACTTCCTCCACAGTGGGATATATAGACGATAAAATTGAATCCATTTGATCAACAAAACCCTGCACGTTAGAGTTAGGTGGTCTATACACTACTCCTAGAGCTACATTTCTGTTTAGTAAGCGTAGTTTCAACCATAATTGTTCTGAGATGACTCCTAAATCAATATCTAAGTTCAAGGTGACATAATTAATCGATTCACGTAAATAAATTCCTACACCACCACCACGGCTGATCCTGTCATATCTCAGAAAATTGTACCCCTGCAAAGCAATCATATTTGTTTGAATACCTGGTGCTAACCATGTTTCGGTAACACAGATTATGTCAAAATTGTTTTCAAATACTAATTGTTTGAATTCTGCAAATCCTGTGAATATCGAACGAACATTGATATTAGCAATTTTTACATTATACATGATGACACAAGTGAAATTATTCAAATATAATAATATGTTCAGACCATGATTATTTTATATTATAAGTGTAACAAGATGTGACAAATAATATTTTTTAGGTGATGCAAAATCGAGTAGCTATAAACTGACTGTACTATCACACATACTAAAAACTAAAAGTCAAGTGAAATGAGGTAAAGTAATATTGAGAGTTGCCGAGCCAGGTAACTCTTATTCTCAATTGTGAATGTTTTTTGGTTTTTTGCTTGCAATCCTTGATGAACTTTTTTTTTTCGTTGAAGTCTTTCTTTTCTTGTTGTCTTCCGTACTATCCTCAATCGTTTCAAAAGAATCGTCCGATTTATGATACTCATCTACTCCAACTATAGTCTTCTCCAAGTTGGTTTCATCTTGTTCGAGTTCTATTTCCTCTAAATCACCATTTTCAGTCCCTCTTGTATTTACTGTACTCCCTGTGGCCTCAACATGTTCTTCTGATTCCACTCCCAAAAGTTGTTTGAGGTCCTCAAACGAATATTCTTCTTCATCCACAAAAAATTTTCCTCTTCTAATATATACTTTTGTGTACTTAGTCCTCGCCTTAATCAGTAGATTGGTCCATTCTCTATTCTTCAGCCTTTCTTGATAATTCAGTTCTATAGAAATACGAATATTGGTACCCTTGAGTTTCTTGCAATTACTCAATACTTCCTGTTTCTTATAGAATGAGCAGAATTTCAAGATAATTGGACGATCTTTATCTTGTTTTCCAATTGTGAAGATATCATTTATATCAGAAGCTGAGAGGTTTATTCCTAATGATTGATTCAATTTCTCAATAGTGAAATTGAGTAATTTCCTTTTTTTATCGAAACTTGTGTCAACAGTATTTTTATCCTCGGAAAAATCGAGGCCAAATATGACGATATTATTTTTTCTCTGAGATTTTTCTAGCTGCTCATATTTTACGGCCAACTCCTGGTATTTTTCTTCGATAGCTACCCTTTTTTCCACTTCTGCAGAAATAATTTGTTTGAGGTAATCAACTTCAGCTTTTAGGCTCTCACGTATTTCCTTAGTCTGCTTGTTGTTTGATTCTTCAATCAAATTTTTGAGAAAGTTTTGAATATTCACATCCATGGTTGTGTTGCGCCACCCTGTATCATCTTTTATCTCTTTAGTATTTCCAGCACTGAAGTTTATCTATGAGACCCGTTTCTTTGGTACTTTTTGTTTGATTCCTCATTATCTCTCTCGGATGATATACCAATTAGTGGGGGTGATGATATATATACATGTTTGTGAGATGAAGGCATTATTTGGAAATTATAATCATGCTCATGTTCTATCTGATTCTCGATCTGTGTATCAAGGATTTGTTCAGAAATATGAAAAACAAGTTCAAAATTTTACTACAGACCAATGTGAACCTTCCATATTCACACATAAATAGGCTACTGTGAACTCTACTTACAGTTCTTGTTGAGGGGCATCCAAGTTCGAGAAATTCATCTCTCCTTATTGACGTCCATCCCATGAGCCCTATCAACCTCTTTTCATATAGTAAACCAAAATATGTGTCTGACACATTTCAGAGACCAATCATCTGTCAGTTGAAACATTTCATCTCGAGACTCAGACACATCCCTGAAACATTGCAGAAACCAGGAATGACCTAGGCAAAAAACATTTCACTTGGAACATTTCGAAAGAATCCTTTCTGAATCATGAATAAATTGTATATGGATGCATTTTTTAATATTTCAACTCGAACGTTTCATGAGTAACATGTTTGCAATGTGAATTGATAGTTTTTGATGCATTCTTGAATATTGCAAATGAAATATTCCAAAAGGAACATGCCTGAAACGTTAATAATCGTGTGTATGCATTCTTGAATATTTCACTGAGCATTTGTTTTTTGATATTTTTTTTTCGTAAGTTAGGAGATATGTGTTTATTGATAGGCAAATAAAAATATTCTCTCATTTCAATATCTTTATATATATTGAGTTGAATATAAACAATATCGACCATTGATTTGTTTATTTATCTAATTCTCTTCTGTATCGGAGTGTCGCCTGACGAAACCATGTAGCAACAGATTTCTCATATTCAGAATCTGTCAGATTTGAGAAACTCCTTGCATTTCCGCACTTGGTCCCTTCAAAAATTAAAATATTCTTCTCATATTAACTATCAACTATGAAATAGAGTCTCACCTTTCAGGATAGATATCACACCCAATTTATGAATGGGATAATTATCTTTTCTTCCATACCAGGAACATTTGGTGGCTAGTTTGTTGGTGAAAATTCTTCTCAAACCTCTTTTTATGATGTCAAGTACAGTGTCCCCTCCACCAATAAAGAATAATGTTTCCTAAAATATCATACATTATGAGATAACCAGACAACTGAATCAAATTCATATGAATAATATGAATTGACACATTTTACAAGTTATCACAAGTAATATCCCATTATTAATTAGTTATCTAAGTACTGTAGAATTTGATGAATATACGAGGAAAGCAGCTACTTCATATCTGAGACATAAAATAATGGAAATATAGGTATTTGCAAGTACAAATAACAATCTAAAGTAGTTATCATAAAACTATATTTGATAGGTATTGAGAAGGAATTGAAAATTCATTATTTTTTTCATTTAATGCAGATATAGACAGAAAAATATTTTATTGGAATATGTGCAACTTACCAATTGCTTCCTCGCGGATTCAGAATTCTTCAGGGAATCCTCATATTTCATTAGATTTATATATTTTCCAAATGCCTTTTCAGGCACTGTATCAAATTCATTGATCTGTTCAACTTGGGAAGTTGAATTTATTTTTTTCACATTCGATGTGAGCTCTCCTGAGATCGTTTTAAGAGCTACAACATTTATTTTTCATTCAGTCTTTTGACATGAACACAGCAACAATCTGAAATGAATATTGATTGAAATTAAATATCAGAGATATGTGCTGAGAATTACCTTGTTGGTTATAATTCTCCAATTGGACATCTTGGATTGGTCTCAATGTTCCTGCGGTGGATGGAGGAGGCATTATAATTCTGTCCACATCTGCCAAAATTTCCTCCGTAATAGATACTAAGGACAATAATTATTATAAATACATGAAAAAACTATCTTCGATAATATGAGCAGAAGCTTAAAGTGCACTTACTTGTACTTGAGGTATTGAAACTATCTTCTTTTTCTCCACCTATGTCTCTTATCATTTGTTCTGATGTCACCAGAGATGTAGTTGAATCATCTCTCTTAGGATCGCTCAATTTTGGATTTTTGGGCAAAGGTGGTAGAGTACAACTTTCTTCTCCAGATAATGATGATGAATCCCCGGATACGAAATCTGAATTTCTTACATTTTTCCTTTTACGGGATCCAATTTTTGTTTGTTTATCCAATGTGTCCGAAGAGTCCTCTCCACTCAAGGTTTTTTCGTAAGACTTCGCTTCATCATAATCATCTGGAATGTAAAAATAATTATCAATCATAATGTAACTTGTTATCAAGAAGAATTTGAATGTTACCTGTCTCATAGAGAAATTTCACGCGATAAGTTGGCCAATCTTCCTTAGCGTCTACTGCATTTTGAATCTTATTTCTAGTTTTTCTTTTTTCTAGATGGCCAGAAACATTCCAGATTACTTTCCTCCAATAAGTCACCTTTTTTGAATTTTAACCATTTTCCTGGGACTGTAGAGATTGTACATTCTTCGAGAAATTGCACAACAACCCACTTTTGAAAAAAAAAGTATATTTAGTGTGTGCAACACATGGCAAAACATTTTATCATCAATTTTCAAAATGCATGACATGAAAGTATTGACGCATGATGTGGAAGCTACTTATTATATCATCAATTAATGATTGAGCTTTGACTTGAAACTTGCCGGAATCTGTCCAAGCGTGAAGTACAGGGTCATTCCATATTATATTCAAACAGCTTCTACAGGGTTACATCATTGAAGATAGAAAAAAACTTCGAATACGAAAGTTGTAGGGTTTGTTCTGAACGAGGTTGGTACCCATTTCTTATATCAGCCATATTCATTTTTCTCACCTCGTACAATTTTCTAGAGGTTCAGAACAAACCGCACAACTTTTGTATTCGAACCTTGTAGAAACTGTAAATATACCCTGTACAATAATTTTTAGGAATCTGGAGAATGTACATTGGAAATCTTGATAAAAATAGAATGGATGAGAAAAATTTTTGCCAACTTTCACATAGATAATGAGATGTGTAAATATACTTCTCTCTGTCTGCAAAGTGACATTCTGGATAAAAAAAAAATAGAAGGGGGGGTGAAAATCAAAGTGAACTGAAAAATATTTGAGAAATTATTCAAATAAGCAGGCAGTATCATAAAAATAAAGGTTTATTGTTGAAAAGGAATATTCTCAGATAAATTATGAACATACAAAAATGGATATATATTTATATAAAGCAATACATTGAAAATTCGCATTCTCTATGTGATGAGGATATTTACTATTTTTCAGTTGATTCAATAGAAAACAACTACTTTCCTGGCTATTTGCCACGTCGAACATTGAATTATATCTGATGAACATTCAGAAGGAGAACATGAAAAATGAAGAATAAAATCCTCCGAAATTGAGAATTGACATTCTTCTTCAAATCGGATGAATAATATGATGAATAATGATATAGAAATATGACTTACCAATATATTCAGCATTGAAATGAAAATTGTAATGTATAGGAGAAGTATACTGGCATGAACTCTGATCTTGATGAGCTTGAAAACTTCCAAAAATAATCATTCATATCAGTGATATGGAAAATATTATCTCTCACACACAGGTTATATGATTTTATTGCAATAAAACCATCTCGGATTTCTGAATCCTCATCAGTAACCATGATGTCCACTTATTCTTACAGCCATTCTTCATGATATACACAATTTTCATCTCTATATAATACAACTAAAACCGAGTGAAGCGGCGTTCACAACCAAACTTTTTACGTTTTGCTTCTTACGTTTCGTATTCTGATTGGTGAAGCAGAATCTGAAATTAAACGTGAATTAAATTTATGCAAATGTCATTCACAACAACAAAAAATCAACGTGACTTTTAACGGCTTTTTTCAGTTGTCTTGATTTCATCATTTGTGTTTCATCCTGAAATGAGATGAAATAATCATAACAATAATACTGATGATTAGATAATTAATAATATTCATAAAACTGGCGGTGACGTGAATTGATCCTTATTCAATACTTGAAGAGAAAAATCAATCCTGAAAAAGAAAATAATAAACAGTGTACTATTCCGTGGATTCACGAGAAAAATCATGAGCAAAAATATTATCATAACTTCCATACATTGAATTCATTGTAAACAATAACTATAGAATGTTTCATACATGTATTGTTGTATTCGAATCAAAACTAATAGTAGTTTTTCCATTTCATAACAATATCATTTGTCTATTTTTACTATTTCCACAGACGATGGCTTCTTGCAACGCAAAAAGCTGAATATTTTCAGCTTTTTGCGTCATTTCAATTTCAGATCTTGCTTCACCAATCAGAATACGAAACGTAAAAAGCAGAACGTAAAAAGTTCATTTGTGAACGCCGCTTACAACTATAACGAAATGACATCTGAGAAATTTGTTGACATTCTATTCCTGTCATTTGGAAGTTTTTGCTTCTGGGTGTATGATAAATTGACATTCATCATACAGGGCGTGGAAAGAAATCCTAAATTGAAACTCTATCACGAATCTGCGATTAGAGGTCTATAAAAATCACTAGTTTCCATCGTTCAAGTTTGAACCCCCTAATTGGGTATGAAAGTGTTGAAAAAGAATATTCTCAGATAAATTATGAACATACAAAAATGGATATATATTCATATTATCATGAAAAAGAGTGAATATTCTCATTACATAGAAAATGCGAATTCTCAATGTATTGCTTTATATATACGAGCTTTTCTTATATAAACGTATATAAATCATGTCCCTCTTTTTGAATGGACTGTGAAGTTTATCTCCCCAATCCTCAGAGAAATTGGTGAACCATTGTCGAAATTTATTAGAAATGCCATATTGTACCAGCGCCAGCGTGAATTTATAAAAAACGCTTTCTTTAGCGCCCTATAACTCGGTAACCAACAGGAGTACAAGAAAAGTGTAAATTATCATTTTTGTTGCTAATTTAATAAGCTTCAATTATCGGATTTTTTCGGAGGTTGGATCATTTTTTGAGGTTTTTTGGCTGGACTATTTAGGTTATCGAAATAATCAGTTTCCCTTAGAATTAGGTACCCATGTAAATATCTCGTTTCGAGGTATCCATCATTCCATTGGATCATCCTCAACCAAATAAATTATTTTAACTTATCTATACAGGCAAGATATACAACAGTTGATGTACTTTTCGACATAAGGGCGCATTCGTGGAAACCAATAGCTTTCTTCAAGGTCTTCTCTACTCCAAAGTGGCCTAGATCGTCATGTGCCGTCTTAACGAACCTTTTGGTACTAACCATAATATCCCCTTAGCCGTAATACGATATATTCTATTTTCTCTCAGGCGGTAGTTCTTATAAACATTCATTTTTCATACTCTGTTGTTGGAGCTTTAGACAACACTTCCTTAATTCCTCGGATTTTGTCGTCTGTTAACTGACCAGATAACACCCAATCTGCCTCTTCAATGTGTAAAATGACCTCATTTTGAGTTTTATCAGCCATCACAGTGTTCCGACTTAAGGCGTCGACATGACTCATTCGATTTCCAGGTCGATATTGTACCTGTAATTCCAGCCACCATCTTGCTATGCGTGGTATGAGTTGTTTTTTCTTGCTTGCAGCTTTGATCGAGTTACAATCTGTTACAACGATGAATGAAATTCTTAATAGATATGAGCGAAACTTTCTCAAACTTTCTACAATTGGAAGGGTCTCCAATTCGTATGAGTGATAGTTTTTTTCTGCTCCATTTGTTTGTCTATACTAGGGTCCCTTGATGGAAATTGACGTTAAAGTCATCATAACAGGGTACGGACAGATCATAGCTGCATTCTTTTTTAATGATCTAGAGATTTTAGTTTTGTCTACTGGCATCCCTGACATTGCTGTCACGTCACATCCATGGGCGCTACAGAAAATCATTCAACATTTTAATTATAGTTATGTACAGGGTATTTACTTGTTGAGGAAGATCATATGGCGAACGAGTTTTGTAATCATGATCCGATTCTATTCAAAATTGGAAGGTATGTGGGTTGTGGGTTTCCGGGGTTGGAGATGATGATTGTTTACGTTTCGTCAAACTTGGAAAATTCAAGATGACGGATCCAATATATAGCAAACGAAATTTCTAATTATGATCTGATTCTATTCAAGATTGGTATCTGAGGGTTTTCGGGGTCGGAGATTATAATTATTTTGTCAAAATTGGGAAATTCAAGATGGCGGATCCAATATGGTGGATGAGTTTTGTAATGAAGATCCGATTCTATTCAAAATTGATATCTGGGGGTTTTCGGGGTAGGAGATAATGATTGTTTCATCAAAAATTGAAACATTCAAGATGACGGATCTAATATGGCGAAAGACATTAGTTTATATGATTATTACTCTACCACAAATAGAAAATATGTAGAATGCAAGAGTGAAAATGACGTGCCTATAAGTTATACTGTGTGTACTTAACGTATACCTACTTCTTTGTTACTTTAATTCATCAATGAATTATTCGAAAATGACTCTCTATTCAAAAGAGACGGAAAAATCATATGTATAACATGGGGGTGAAGTATTTTCTATTCTTTATTTTTCTGCACATTTTATGTATTAATTTTTATCAGCCTACTTTTCGTCCTAGACTTAACGTATACCTAATTTTTTGTTACTTTCATCAATAAATTATTCGAAAATGACTCGCTATTCAGAAGAGACGGAAAAATCATATGTATAACATGGGGGTGAAGTATATTCTATTCTTTATTTTCCTGCACATTTTATGTATTAATTTTTATCAGCCTACTTTTCGTCCTAGACGAAGTCTTTTACATAGTGAGATATTAGTAACTCCATGAATTCTTCTCCGAGTTGGATTTCTGAAAATACATTTAGCGCACACATGACATGAGTACAGTAGTCCAGATACCCACATCGAGGTTTCCACCATTTTTCAATCATAAGGCTCAGCTCATTCAGCTCATAGGTAAACTACTGCTCAGCTCGAAATCAGAATTTATTCAGTCAATTACCCTGGTATACAGTCTAAGAACAGTCTCTTTTGGTGAAATATATTGAGCTTTCAGTACAATTTATATGTTCCCTAAATCGCAAAGATTATGCTGGAGTAGTAAACTCTAAAACTAGAGGATTGTTCAGCTATATCTTGGTATAGTTGAATCAGGAATTCCATATAGAAATTACGTATGATACGCCAGTGACCTCAATATAACCTAAAAAACAACGAATGTCAAAAATCTAGTGTTTATCCCCAGAATTGAATAAGGATGGAACTATATAACTGTTTCACAAACACTTTAGAGTGAGATGAGACGAGGATCTGTCCGTACCCTGTTAAGATGACTTTAACGTCAATTTCCATCAAGGGACCCTAGTCTATACTATAGTATGCTACTGGATGTAACCTTCCATCAGTCTGCTTTTGGAACAATATGCCAGCTAATCCTAATTGACTGGCATCGGTATGGACTTCAGTCAGACCAGCAATCATCTGATGTTGAGATGTCTACCCAAGAAACCTTGCAAGAAACTGAAGGAACTTCTAGCACAGCTTCATCTAGAACTACTCAACATATTTTACCTTCATGTTCTGGTATCCAAACAAAGAATAGCCAGAAAAGAAAAGCAAGTGAGGATGGAGATTTTATGACCAAAGAAACCAAAGGAACTACCTACTGTTCAAAATTTACCTTCATGGTCTGGTGTTCAAATGAACAATGACCAGAACATGAAGGTGAATGAGAAGAGAAAAGTAATGACTGATATGGAGAATAATTCAAATCAGTTCATCAAAGATAAGAACAAAACAAATAGAAGTAGAAATGAAATAGCTGAGCTTGGCAGTGCTCTTCAGGGTGCTCTAACTGAATTCAGTCAAACTATGCACAAGAGAAGTGAGAATGTGCAACCTCAGCCACCACAAGAACCAGAATCCCAAGATGCATTATTTGGAAAGCTAATTGCAGGATATTTATCTGAAATCCAAGAAGTCAGGGACAAGCGCCTTGTCAAATCCAAGATTTTGGAGCTCTTCAATGAATATTAATAGTATTAAGAGCTCGGATGAATGATATATGTGATAACAAGAATTTTGTGATTTATTTCAAATGTTTTTTATGAGAAGTGCAGATCATGTTTCAATGTTATTAATCTTTGTTTATATCATGTGGAGTAAAAATGTTGTTCATCTATTCTCATTATAATCTCATATAAGTATTCTATTGGATATATTCACCTGTATTTCAAACCTATGAGGCTATTTCAAATCTTGTGACCCATAAATTGCTTGCCTCTAAATGTTCAATCAAGTATGCACATCCTGATTTTAAATTTTTTTATCAGTTAATGAAAGTGGCACATACCTACCTATCTAAGAGTAATATTACCTGTATAAAAAAGTGTTCACTTAAAACAATCTTCAGACATTTCTGAAATAAGTTGTTCTAATCTAACAAATTTAAAGAAAAGTGGAGCAAAATATGACAAAAACAAGATTTATCATTCA